TGTCCAAATCCCAAAAGGCACAATGCGGGTTTTTTTTTTTTTTCCTCCACTTTTGCCCAACAAAATAAAACAGTGTCTTCTGAATTGAATTCAGTGCGCACTGAATTAAAAATGGTCACCTGCACAATATGTCTTATAAAAAAGAAGAGTGGTGAAAAGGAAAGTGTCAAACTGGAATTCTTACAGTGGACCTGCAAAGTTGAATCGTAAACAAAGACCACTCCAGAATTTTTAAGTCCATGTCTTCATGTGTTAGAAAAATTAAACATTCAAACATGGAATTGGTAAATGTTAAAACATATCTTGAGGGATCAGCGGGTGGTGTGGTGAGTAAAGTGCAGGACTCCCACATGAGCCACCAGGAATGTACCTCCAGACCTGGGGGCTCACTTTCTCACTTTCCCCCTCTCTCTCTGTCTTGCTATGGTGAGCACATATGCTCTATAGAAAATTAAAAATAATAATTAAAAAATTAAGTAAATAATTATTTTTAAAAGTATCTATATCTTACATTAAGACTCCGAGTAAATCTGTATTAGAATAACTTTGAAGTAAAGAATGCTCTTTGGGGACCAGCAGTTAGCATAATGACTATGTCACTGGACTCCTATGTAGTTGACTGCGGTTCGAGTCCCGGACCCCGCAGCTTAAACTCACGCCAGGCGCGTGCGTGTACATGTTCAAGATAACGAGAGGAGAATAGAGGTGAAGGGATTGTGGCATAGCCATCCCCCCTGGGGGATGATTTCTCACTTTCTGTCTCTCTGTCTCTCTCTGTCTTTCTGGTGAGATCACGCACCCTATAACAAAAACCTCTCCAAAAAAAAAAAAAAAGAACTCTATTTGGATAGAACATAGTATCTTCTCTTCTTCTATTTGTTTTTGTTTTAACATACTGATTCTCTTCATACTATAAGCTAGAATAGAATAAACACCTTTTGTCCCTTCTAAAAGCCACAGTAATTCACATTATTTGTGTGGAACTCTTCATAGATTCATTGATATGTAATTTAGTGAAAAATCACTAAGGTAGTGAACATTATTATTATTAATATTAGTAGTAGTATTTAGATATTTGCCATAGACCATGTGCACTCTCTGGAGAGAGACAGAGAGCTACAGAGGGAAAGTGAGAAATCACCCCTGGGCGTTAGGGTGAAGATGGTGACACCACAATCCCTTTTTGTCCGTTTTCCTCTGGGGATTTGGGGCATGCACACACAGGGGCTGGGTGTGATTTTGAAGCTGTCAGGTTTAGTACTCAAACTCTGCCATTTGAGAGTCCAGCGCCTTGACCACCATGCCACCTGCTGGCCCCAGTGAACATTATTTCTAACCATTGTTCATCAAAGACTAGGAAATTTCTCTTTCTGAATAACTAACTTTTTTATGAACCTCAAATCACTTTGCGAATATCCAGTAGAGTCAAGACAGATCCAGATTTATTTTCTTGAGGTCCATTTCATAAAATTACACTGACTTTTCCTTATTTGAAACTGCCTCAGGACCAGCCAGTGGTGCAGTGGTCAAGGCGACTGGCTCCCACGCGGCCAGTCATGCATTTTGAGTCTGAAACTGGGTGCCTTGAAGAACCTGCTGGGCACTGAGTAAAATCCCTCAAGGAAAGTGAAGAAGATATTATGCCTTGGCCACCTCTTACAGGGCTGTGCTTCCCTGCCCCCTCATCAGTGGCAAGTGCACCTCGACTGTGACCACAAAAGCCTCAGGCCCCTATGCTGCTCATCAATCATTTACATCTTAAATGACCTCACCCTGTGACTTTGTTATTTACCTATTCATACATTCATACTGAGGACCTTCCTTAAAAGAAAAGGAATCCTCAATAGTTTTAATAGTGAAGATAATTATAAACACTTGTATATAGTTGATATTTATTGGTGGCTATAGCCACTAATCCTGCCTTCCCCCTCCTTTATCCAGAGGTTTAAGAAAGCATTAGCTGGGGAACCAGCACTTAGCCTAATGGCTATGTTGCTGGACTCCCATGTAGTCGACCACGGTTCGCGTCCCAGACCCGGTGACTTAAAACTCACGCCGGGCGCATGTGCGTGTGTGCCCAAGATCCCGAGAGGAGAATGGAGGAGAAGGGATTGCAGCGTGACCATCCCCCCTGGGGGTTGATTTCTCGCTTTCTGTCTCTATGTCTCTGTCTGTCTGGCGAACGTACACAACCTATAGTGAAAAAAAAAAAAAACTCTCCAAAAAAAAAAAAAAGAAAGCATTAGCTGGGGCAGTACATGCTATGGAGGTTAAGGTGCTGCATCTTACGTGGCTAGCTTGGTGGTTTGAGTCCCAGACCCATTGGGCGCATGTGTGGGTGTGCCCAAAATCTTGAGAGGAGAATGGCAGAGAAGAGATTGTGGGCATGGTCATCTCCCCTGGGAGATTTATTGTTTTTTCCTCTCTCTCTGGTGAGCACAAGCAGCCTACGGCAAAACAAACAAAATTAGCTACTTAAATAATTCTCACAAAACATTTCACTTGCCAAAGAGAAAGACAGACATTTCTAATGTTAGACATATCTAGAGTTACGTACATACATATTTATGTACATAAAATTACTTTAAAAATTATTTTATGGGCCAGCATTTGGCATGGTGGCTAAGGTGCTGGACGCCCTCATGGCTTACCACAGTTCAAGTCCTGGATCCAGAGGCTTATGAATCACA